CTAAGTAACCGTGAGTGAAACCTTCATCATCTTCTCCTTCACTCGAGGGGGACACGCGAACCCTCCTCCTCCTCCTCCTCCGCACCGAGCCGCCCCCCAGAGCGGGCCGTGCGCGCCGCCGCCGCCACCTCCTCCTCCCTCCGCACCACGGGCAGCGGCAGTGTCCTGCCTGCCTCCACCTCCCTCCTCCTCCTCACCACCACACCACAGCCAGCACAATGGCCTTTGAAAGCCTGTTCTCCAAACCCCCAAACCCAGTTCTTGACCCAAACATGCCCGACTCTGACAGGCAACATGCAGGGGACGAAAGGTCGAGTAACATTCTTCTCTCTCTCTCTTCTCTCTCTGCTTCTCATAACGGTGATACTTTAGTGATGATGATGATGATGATGATGATGCTGTGTCTTAAATGTTTTTGTCGGGGCAGGTCACCTTCAGGCTGGGGAAAAACCGGGGTGGGAACCGGTGTTGTTGCTGGGGGGGATGTAAGAAATGCAAGGAGGGGAGGTGTTGGGGGGTGGCACTGAATTAGAAGTGCATTGTTAGGAGAGGTTTTTTAAAAAATATTTTTATTTTTCTGGAATGCATGCGTTTTTACATCTTCATTTATTTATTCTGGCCGGGAAGGGGGACGGTTTTCCATTTCTTTCCATAAATTGCACTTTCCACAGCGGGTGTCTGTTGAATGTCACCATTGTTCTTTTTTCTCCCTTGCTAGTCAGGTAGGAAAGGGTGCTTTGAGTTGTGTTGCTTTTAAGATTTTTTTTTTCAGTTTTGGTTTATACAAGAATCTCTCCCCAGATCCATATTTAACATCATTTTCTCGCCAGATTACACCTTACACATTTAACTGGATTTTTTTTTCTTATGCAGATTAAGGTCTGACTGACGTTATCTTTGCCACCTCTCAGTCCCCATGCGCAGAAAACCAGAGTCCTGTTCCTGGTGAAAGGACCTCTGTTCCTCCCTCCCTCCCCTTTCTCTCCCGCAGCTGCTGGAAATTCAAATCCTTTCTCCAGGCAGCCCTGACCTCCCTAACTAGTTCCAAAAATACTCCGCCAGGGTGACTTTGTTGCCTGCAGCTACCAAGTCCTTGTCTACATTTACTCAGAGCATTCATGACACAACTGCAGGAGTTAAAAATTCTGGTTTTCCACAGCTGGGCTTCAGTCTCTCCTCCCCACACAGCTCCACAAGCGTGCTCGGTGCCTGCTTTAGAGGGCTGAAAAACACTTGGAGGAAACAAAAAGAGAAAAAGGGAGAGAAACAGTCCCTTATTCTGTGTGTTACAAAGCAGGAAGGGCCCCAACAAGCTGACTTGACCAGTCTGAAAAAAATCATGCAATGATTTAGAGTGAGCAGGTTCGAGGCAGCCCCCGGAGCTGCTGGTTCTTTGCACCTTCCTGCTTTTTTAATCATGAAACGGTGTCAGTTGTGTCATGCTGGGTGTACCCCCCCAAAAAAGCAAACCAGTAATCCTCTGGGATTGCTGGAGGGAGGGCAGAGCTAACTCTTAAAACTCTGCAGAGTGGGATTTTTTAGAGTTCCTAGGGTTAGTAAGTTTTGCTGTTTCAGGGCTTGAAAAGGCTTCGTGGGTTTTCAAGTCCTCCTTGAGGATGTGCCTGAGTTAGTCACTGCTCTGCTGGAAGCGTAGTTTTTTGTCTAACTCGGAGTTGCTCATGAGGTGTTGACAAGTAGAGTTCCTCTAAACCAGCCATTCTCACCAGTTGTTACCCTGGTAAATTATGAAATAGAATAAATAAGTGGTGCCTCATAGCTTAATGTGCTTTTAACACGGGTTAATTTCTAATGTTGCCTTGTAATGTTTTAATTTCGTAAGAGTGATGAACACCTTTGCCTGTTAAATAATAACTTTCTTGTAAACAAGCCTTCTGTGAAACTTCTGCTCCCCTTTGAGCTGAGACCTGTGTAGTAAAGTGTGTTCTTAATACACCCGGTTTAAAAAAAAGGCAATAAATACCCAACAAACCCAAACATAAACTTTTGGTTAGGTTAGGTTAGGTGTGCAAATGTAACATTGTAAACTGTGTTGGTAGCTCGGTAGCACTGGTTTACTATAGGTACAGCCCACAATAGGAAGCTTCTGAAATCGTTTCAACTATTTGGATCGATCTGTCGAGCATAAATGAGGAACATTTCTGTTAGCAATTAGTTAGCTTGGTTTGGGACTGATCTGTAAACTTGTCAAAGAAGTTGGTTAGTGGTTTTGAGCAGTAAAAAAGAGTGGAAACCCCCCCCCCCCCATCCGTTCATTACTTTGAATATTCCAAGTTGGAAGATTGTTTTTGATCCAGAGTCTTTGTTTTCTTGGTTTGTAGATGGGCCACCTGATTAAGTGAGGCAGGCTTCTCATTCGTTAAATATTTCTAGTTAACTCGTTGTGGAGACTTTGGTGAGGTATTCCAGCCTTTCTGTACACACAGACCTCAAGGTGTGTTTTGAAATTTTATTACTGATTACTTGTTACGTAGAGAATCTTGGGCAGGGCAAGAAAGATTTGCAATTGCCAGGAGCTTTAGAAAATAACTTGGAATCTGTTTATTTTTAAAATCTGTGACGTTGGGTCAGTATTGATGCTTTCTGTTTGCTGTCCATGCTTTGCTGTCATTGTATCTCTAGACTTGGTGCTTTCTTGCACCATTTTTTGCTCTAAAAAGAGCAGTGACCTAACAATGGGTCTGAACGTGGAGATGCTAACTCTCAGATAGTGGAGTGGTCTTGGAGAGTCACATTGCAAGTGTGTCAGGCCCCTTTTTATGTCCCTTTTTATGTACCTTGTGGTACAATAAAGGAGGTTTTCTACGTTGGAGGTAGCGAGATTGTATTTTCCCAGTTCCCTTTTCCACTCTCCTTTCTGTGCGCTCTCTGCGAGCGTGATTTACACCCTGCTGCTCCAACAGGTCCGACTGGTTCTCCCAGAGACCTGCTCTGCTCGCTCACACCCGGTTGTGGCCAGCACAAGTAACAGCAAATTGAAATTTGTGTTATATACCAATACAATATGTGTCGTCCAGATCTCCCCATATCCTCGGTGCCATTGTCCCAGTCTGCTCTCCCAGGCTCTCTCGCCACAAGGCTTCCATCCACCTTTAGCTGACAACTTAAATGCGTTGCTTTTCCTCTACGTGGTGCTTTACTGCCCTCCTCGTGTGCAGGTTTTGGTTTGAAAATGTTTAAAGCTGGTTTTAGCGATCTGTTCGGGGTTTGGTTTTTTTCAGTAATAGTTAATCACCAAAGGATATGGTCACCTTCAAGTCTGTGGTCACTGGCTGCAGCCTTCTTGTAGCGATTTATTGTTTTGGAGGGCAATTTCAAAACTTGCTTTGACGTTAGGAAACCGGGAAGGAAAGAGATAATCCCCGTTTGGTCCCCGTGTGCTGCCTGGTCTGGTTGAGAGGCGTCCCTGCCCACAACAGGGAGGTTGGATTAAATGATCTTTAAGGTCCCTTCCAGCCTAGGCCATTCTATGATGAATCTGTGATTCTATGAATCAGTCCCAAACTCACTCTGTGGCTGAACGAGCCTTGCTTGCCATTCGCAGGGATGCCAAAACTGCAGCTGGCTCACCTAACTTGTTACTCCTCATCCTCCCGAGGAGGAGGAAGGGTCCTCTGTGAATTTATGTCATTTCTTCTACAGTAATAAACCCCAGGGGGTGGACATGATGAGGCAGCAGGATGAGAAGGTGGACTATCCAAAAAATTACTTCTTTGCCTCTGCTGCAAAAAAAACAGCAAACCAACCATAGTGGGCTGGTCTGTAATTTTTCAGGCTGCAATTTCACTGCCTGGACGTAGATTAAAATAACTTAATGTTTGTGGAGTGAACATACTCTTCATAATTGTATAAAACCAAAATCTTGTCTCTTCTAGAACTGATGGCAGAAAAAAAAAGAGGTTTAAGTTTAACAGTGAACTTGCTTTAGGAATAAATAGATTTTATTTTCTTTTTGGACGGTAATATTCAGTTATCACCAAAAATTAATAGCTTCTTAACGAAGAATTCATTACTTAGCGTGTTAGAGATGTGCTTATGTGTGAAGTTTGCATTCATACTGCAGTGTCCTTTCACTGTGTGTTTGAGAAGGGAGATGCTTGCAGCCTTTAATTTTTATCTACTAAGTACGTTTTCTAGTCTTGATGATGCTTTTGGAAAGCCTTGGCTCTTAATTTTTTCTTTATTCTAATGAATAAAGTCAGAAGCATCGTATTGTAAACCAAAATGGAATGGTTTTTAAACGAGACCTTTCCTCAGCCGTGAATCAAAGGGCCTTAACAGAAAACAACCTTTGATGACAGAGAATCACATTGTGGTTGTACGAAGTTGTTCCCGTCGGCTGTTAGAACATACAGAAGTTTGGTCCTCTCCCCAAACACACCAAATACTTCTGTGAGGAAGACGGGGAAAAACAGTCCCACATGCAAAACCCTGCTAGTTTTCTTAAAATATTTCAGAGCCGCTGCATGCTGAGAAAACGCGTTGCTTTTGTATATTGGACTTCAGGAGCTTGAGTTGTAAATCTGCTTTGAACATAACAAAATCAGTTTTTAAAAATTACTCAGACCAAGGCCCGCAAAGGTAAATTAAAGCCAAGTTTGAATGTTAAAAGTTAAACTGTAAAGGCTAGAGGAACGGTGAGCTGTTTTTTGCGTGGATTTCTGTTTTCCCTAGCCAAATACTTACATAACTGCTCTTTCAGTGATTTCCCCAGACTCATTCTTCCTGCAAGATAATTTGGCTTCGGAACGTTTTGGAGACGCTCTAGAAATATGCTCAGGACGGCGGAAACGCTTTCTGGGTTGGTTTTCACATCTCCATCACCACTCTGAGTGTCTGGAGATCGTGAAAGCAACCAAAGACTCGGACCCATTTCCTAGAAAATCATCTACTGGGTTTTTTTACAGACCACATCTGGATGTTGACTTACATGACTCATAGGGGAAAAAAAAAAGGAGGCGGCCTCGGGTCCCATCACCGAAAGCCCTGCCCAAAGCTGTGTGCTATAGCCAATATATTTAGCAACATATTTAGGAATATATTTAGGAAGTGAACTTCCACTTGGGGTAGGTTTTGCACCTTGCTCCAGTTTGGATGTTAAATTGGGGGAGAAGAGTTTAGGAAATGAAAGGTCATCTCTGCCCAATTGCTTTCTTTAAACTTTTCTCTGAAGAATAACCAAAGTAGTTCCAGGAAATGATACATTTTTTGACTATTATCTCTTCAAATCATATTTATCCACCTTTTTTTCTTTTTTACATTCTTGGAAAATTCTAGGATGTTGTTGTAAGAATTTGGCCATTAGAGGACTTCTGTAGTCTCGCCTTCGAAATGCAATCCCAAGGATAGCATTAGTGAGATTGTTTTACCTGGAACGTTATTCGAGTCCTGCATACGTCCCAGAGGTGCAAACATATGACGGCAGTTCCCAAAGGAACCATTCAATACCTTAGTTCCCAAAGAGCATTTTCAGGAAGCATTTTACCTAAAGAAGGTGTTTTAATTGAGCAGACATCCTTGAGAGACCGAGTTTCAGCTCATCTAGTCAAAATCTGGGAGAATTTTTTTCCTAATAGCTGCAGGTGTTCTGTTAATACTCGTGTTTGGGTTTCATTAGGTACACACTTTAATAGTGACAAATGCTTCCTTGGGATATTGTGTGATGTGCTTCAGAATTTGTCAGGGAGTGCTGGAGATAACGGAGACTGCGCTTTTTGAAGACAAGATTTATTTAGTGCTTGGGATACCCATTCTGAGCGTCCTTTATCTCAAGCATGGGAATCCCTTGGTCCCACCTAGAGATGCGAATGAAAGATTTGGGATGGTGTTTTTTTTTAATATAGTTTTCTGCACAGAGTGAGGGTTTCCTACACCATAGGATTGAAAATTCAGGACCAGGTTTTCATAAAGTTCCCCCAAAGGCTGAATTCTTGAAGCAGCGGTGATAACATGGAAATCATGCAGCCAATTATAAGTGCTCAAAAGCAGTGAATTCTGCCACAACCAAAACCTGGCAAATACCGAAGAGGTGAAGGGGAGCTGAGGTTGCTGAAATAGGGAGGAGAAGCCACCTAGCTGGTGTTCTGTCAAAATGTTTCTTTCATTTTCAGAGTTTGTCAAAACGTTTCTTTGTTTTCAGAGTTCCTGCCATTTGGGTCAGTAGACAAAACTTTGAGTCTTATGTAATCATAGAAACTTTTTTCCCCCTAGGGATGGAGGTAAACACAAACCTTTCTGGTATTTAGTCTACAAGCACTTCAAGTGTTACATTTTCTGGGTTTTATTTTTATTTTTTTCAGTCATCCTTTGGTGTTACAGCTGTAATTGCAGGAGCTGCTGTGTTCAAGGAAATGTATTTGTGTGGCTGGGTATACATTGAAGCAGTTTTTCCTCTATGTTGGAGAAAACCATGTAAGAAGGGAAGTCTTTTGTTCTGAGAAGGGAGAAAATAGATAGTTTTTAAACTTTTTAATTTTGCATTGCAATTTAAGGCCATTTAATCATTTGCATTCCAGTTTTCTTTAAAAGAAAAGTCTGAACCCCTCGTAGGTCTTGGGGTGTTAATGTATGAAGAAGTATATTCACGTGTATAAAAATGGAACTGCTGTAAAGAATTACTGGGTGTGCTTGTTGCTGTTGGATAGTGGAGATGGATAATAACGTGTAATTTTATTGCATTGATGTTTTCCCTCCTGCAGAGAGGATGGCGAGCTAGAAGACGGTGAAATAGATGATGCGGCGTATGAAGATGTGAAAGAGCACGGTACAAAAGGTGATGACAAACAGAAAAATGAGAAAGGACATAGAAAATCACGGAAGAAACGCAAAAAAGAGAAAGAAAAGAAAAAGTCAAAAAGGAGAAGACGGGATAAGCATAAGGTTAGGAAATGCAAACCAAAGTGCCAGAGGGGTTTATTTGAATTCCAGGTTTAGACAAGAATTTGGGGAGGTGGGAGAAGAAACCTAAAGCGATTTTATTGCTATTTAAGTGGTCTTTGCAATCTGCAAGCGCAGATTCCTGTTGTGCCAATGCATTTGAGTATTAAAGAATTTGATTAAGTAGACTTTCGACACGTGGAAGTGTATATTCATACGTGTCCGTGTGAGTTTATTGGGGGTTAGAGGCAATAAATGATTAAATAATGCAACCGTAGTATGTTTCAAAGGATAGTTTGAAAACTTGTTAGCTTTGCCCAAATGCTTTTTGTAAACTTGGTTTTCTTCTGTTTATATGAGCATTTTACTCTTTGCCAGTGTCAGTGGTTGTGGTAGTTCTGACATGAAAAGCCAAAGTATTAAACCACTTCTTAAATTAAATAATTTTAATTAAACTGGCCGCTGACAGCATCTATGATAGCAGAACTGTGAGAGAGTGAGAGGTCTTTAAGGTAAGAGCCAAAACGTAAAATTACAATTTTGCTTTTTGTGCTAATTACCGACTTTATGGAAGGAAGAGATTTCATACGAGTTAAGTGAATTCTTCAGTAAATTAGTGGATAGAATGTGCCTAATATATAATTGACTTAAATAAATGCAAGAGATTCATCAAATTTGAACCTAGAAAATGAAACCCTATGGTAATTCTGTAAATCACAGAAATACAGTGTTCTTCTGTGGTTGCCCCTCTCAATTTTCTACAAGACAGCACACCTAAATAAAATACTTGTAGTGCAGTGATGCTGAGAGTGGCTCATCGAGTGTGCTCTCACTGGCTTCCCTCAGAAGCTGAGGTTTGTGAGAGAGGGAAAAAAATACTTTTTATGGAGTTCATACACAACAGGCCACTTTGAAAGGGATTGCATCATGCTCAAGAGTGCCGTTTTCTTTTTTTTTTCCAGCACAACTCCCCTTCCAGCGATGACAGCTCAGACTACAGCCATGACTCTGATATTGAGCGTACAGAAAGACCACATAAAAAGAGCAGCAGCTCCTCGTACAGAGATTATGATTCTTCATTCAGTCAGGTAGGTGGTTTTTTTCCCATATCTTTATTCAGGTGTTGTGTAAAAGAAGGGAAATGTAAATGACATGAGAAACCCCTAAGCCAGCCCCGTTTATTAACGAACTGAAGATCTCGTTGGCAGAAATGGGAGAAGAGACAGTGCTAGGGCTGGTGATAAGCAGTATTTCATCCTGACTAGCAGAGAGGTGACAGGTTGTTTCAGCTGCCTCCAAGATCGTCAGGATACGGTGATCCTGAATGGAAGAGATTTATTTTCATCGCAGTTCATCTAAGCAGCGCTTAGAACACTTAGATCTGCGTGCACTAAAAATGCACTAAAAAGTTTTCTGGAGTACAGGTGCTGTTCTTTTTTTGGTCCTTTTTCATGTTTTGATGCATTCAGAATCCAAAGTGCTAATTCCTACTAAATAACTGATAGTCACTGTTTATTATTAATGCTCGGTAGACAGTGAAATGGTGAAAATAGCTGGGTTTGTTAGCATGGTTCGGAGGGGTGTTTTCTGAAATGCTGCGTCTGAACGGCACAATCCCTTTCCTGCAGCATGGGCACGTATCAGGAAATTACATGAGTTCCCAGAAAATGCAGCATAAAAAAAATGTAAAAAGTAAGGAGTATGATGACTACAGCCATTACAGCGATGAAAACTTCGGTAATTATAACGAGGAAGAAAAAGACGAAGATTTTGCTGACCAACTGAAACAGTACAGGCAAGCTAAAGAGACGTCCAGTGCCGATTTAGGACCTCCATTCCCGAAAGAACCAGTGAAAAAACAGGGGATGAAGGGGATCCAGAAAGGTAAGATCATTTGAAGCAGTAAGTTTAGTGATGGATGGTGGGGGCAGTTGTATCGTGCGTTGTTTTGGGACATTTTTCTCGTGAGCTGAGCACAGAAAGCTGCTAGTGGTGGCTTTCAGCAAGTGAGAACACTGCTCATCGGGAAGGAATAATATACCAGTATGCAGTTATCTGTTATGGAATCATGAAATGGTTAAAGTTGAAAGGGACCTTGAAGATCATCTGGTTCAACCCCTCTACTGTGGGCAGGGACACCTCTCTCCCACTAGACTAGGTTGCTCAAAGCCCCATCCGGCCCGGCTACTGGTGGGTATATTGCAGAAAAAGATCAAGTATCAGTAATATGTGCGTGGTAAACGAGCAAATAAGGCCTGATTAAAAAGCCAGCATCTTTGTTCTGCAGCTGCTTGAGGAAGAAATGGTAGGGCTGTAAAGTGGTTTCCTGGAGTTCATGAAAACTTGATTCAGGCCAAAAAAAAATCCCAGTTAAGTACCCAGAAATTCTGATAGAGGCTTGAACACCTCTGTCGGTCTAGCCCACAAGGGCGCTAGCTCCCTTTTATTTTTCCTTTCGCAAAATTTCCTTGCGTTCAAAGCTGGTGGAAGAAGCAGTGCTGTGAAGCAACGCATTCCTGAGAGAGTCCTGCTGCCCTTATTTCCTGCTTGGCTTACATAAGCTGGGTTACGCAAGCGGTCTCATTCGCACCTTCCCTCCTGTGTCTGCTGGGGTGCGATTCTTTGAGCCCGTGTATGTCCCTGGCCTCAGTATTTTGACTCCTCTGTCACATTTCTGCCTGTCGCCCAGAGGGAGTATGCTGCCTTTTCTGTTTACTACAGCCTCGTCACATTCTCTTTTGGTTCGCAATAAGATCGCCAAAAGATTGGGAAAATCTGACTGGTTTTCTTTGGTTTTCAATCAGTGAGAAAGCAGATATTCCGTCTCAGTGGCTTTTGTGGAAACCACAGCTGCTGACTGGATAATTAGTGTCTCGAGGCTTCCACATAGTTGCCATTAAACATTTTTGCTATCAAGGCTGTTCTGTTGTATTTCTTAGGTTATGATCTTGCGTCTTCTGCCCATCAGGACAAACGTTTGTGCACCCACCTGGGTGCCAGTTGTACCAGTTAGTTCCACTTTCAGAAAGCTTCCAAACGACACCGAATAATTTAAGTATTTGGGCTGGTTAGAAGTAGCACGTCCAGACTTCTCAGTTGGGAGATGCTGCTTTGAACAAGATGAATTTTAGATTAGTTTTCTCAGTCTACTATTGATTCTCTTTTCAAAAGTGAGGGGGGAGGGGGTGCAGAATGACAATCAGCCGACGCGGCTGGACTTGCCAACTCGCAATTCAAGGGAGCGTTTAGGAATTCAGGCCGCAAAAACGTAGATATTTCATTTGTTGGATTGGTCTGTGTTTGACGTCGCGGGATAAATAATTTTTCTTTCCTCCCTGAGGACCCTGCTGTTTTTCAGGTATTTCTCAACGGGGTAATAATTACAACATCGGCCGAGGGCGTGGAATGCAGAAGAAATTGAAGCGTAAAGATCGCGGAAGGGGGAGAGGGGGCAATAAAGGATCCGATGGCTTTCATGAGGTATGTGGAATTAAAAGTTGGATTCCTGATGTACTTGTTTCAAATGACAGGATGCTTTGCTTTAATTGAAAAGTATTTAAAAATACACAGCTGTCAGCTTTTTTTCTCTTATCTAGAAAATTACTGGGGTTCTCTACCACTTGATATACAAAGTATAATCAGTAACCTGATAAGTAATTTGGTTTGTGATTTAATCGTGCTTCCTCTCTTGCTTTGCCTCTTGTTATAAGCAAAAAAGGTTATTTTTTCTTCTAATGGGAGAGAAAAAGAAGCTGGGCAATCCAGAGGAGCACATAGAGGGGAGGGATTGGCAAGGTGTTGTCAGAAGACGGTGGTCTGGATGCTGACCAACTGTTTCATGTGACTAAACTGTATTAAAGCAGATAAGGAAAAGCCACATGTATTTACCTTTTCCTTGAGCCGTGGGTCTAATCATTTTAAGAACTCAAATTACGGCATAGTTAATCCCATTTTGGGGTAACCAAGTACGTTCTTGCTGTTTTTGCAACCATGTTTAATAGCAGGCATCAACGAGATGTTTGGTTTTTTTTCTTCCAGGATGGCAAACCCATGAAGAAGTGGGTTAATATGAGCCAGGAGTTCATAAATCAGCACACGGTGGAACACAAAGGCAAACAAATTTGTAAATACTTCCTCGAAGGGAGGTGTATTAAGGTAACAATGCACTTTGGCTTGAGGAAGGGGGAGGAGACACTGTTTGGTTTTTTTTATTATTTCAGCCACTGCAAAGAAAACTTGATGCTGAAACTCAGTGGTTTGATTTCTAATGTTTTGAGGATTTGTAGATAAATGCCGACAGAAGTACTCAGGGAAAAATATCCCCTTCTGTCACACATTTTGAATTGTAATGAATTCTGTTCAAGTGACTATTTGCTGTTAGTTCATACAGCGCAAACATATGTGATGGTATCGTAGATTGACAACGTATATACGTAAATATACATCAAATCTTCCAAGCGTGGAACCTGGCAATGATTTCTGAGTGTGTTAGATTATTGCTCTTGTATGTGCTACTGCTGATTTTGAAACGTTGAAGGAATTACTTAATTATGGTCAATTATTTCTCTCTCTAAAGTAAAAAGTGGAGTTGTAGTAATAATTCCCTCCACCAAAGAATCATCTTCCTTCAGGCAGCAAGTGGAAGGCGGCAGAGAGAAGAGAATGCTATTCAGAGCAGTCAGCTGTCAAGCAAAAGCCCTAGCAAGACAGTCTCTTATTACATAAAAAAAAAATAAACTCAAATCGCTGTCGCTTCATTTTGAAGCTTGTGCTGCTGTGGAGTTGAACCCTCCGATGTCAGACTAGTTCAGTCAGTTACAAAACCCACTTAAGAAAAACCCACGTGCTTCTTGAATCAGTGAGTGCACCCTTTATGTTTGGTTCCTGTGGGTATTTAGCGATAGAACGTTTTTTATTTTGCAAATGGTCAAAGTAAAGGTGATATATATATATGTGTCTGTGTGTGTATATGTGTACTGTTTTTCACAAAACAGGAGGGAATCGAAAACAATGCGTTTGTTGCTGCCTTTATGTATTTTAAGAGTGCCATGCTCAGTAAGATGAGTATTTGCTGCCACCTTCAGTTTTAAAACAAGTGACTGGAAGAGCACTTGGTGTCTTTTTCATGGGAATAAGTACAAAAAATAAATAGAAACAAACCTCTAGCAAATGCTAATGTATAACGTGATATGGCTGATATCAACCTGATACTTTTTGCACCCTCTTTTCCCTACGTGAGAGAGTTGTAACACTTTGCTTGTTGGACTTTTAATTTCTCCTACGCACCCTTAGAATGGTATGATTTCTGATCAAGCGCTTAATTATTTGTGTGGAAATAATTTCAGTGAAGTATTTGTTTAAATGCCTTTTTAAGGTGAATTGTTAGGTGGAGACAGAGAAGCGAGCAGCTTGTTTTCTGTTGACAGCTGCAGATACTCTTCATATCCCGATTCAGAAACTATTTCTCCATGTCACAGGGGTTTTTTTAGGGATTTGTTTAGAATGCGGTTATGTGGGAATAAAGGTAAAAAGTTTAAATTCAGCTAAGGAGGATGGTTTTCTGCAAATTGGAAAATGAAAATACCCAGCATTTCAGACTGATAATGTTTTGTCTTGTTTGCTTGTTGACAGGGGGAGCAGTGTAAATTTGATCATGATGCAGAGATTGAAAAGAAGAAGGAAATCTGCAAGTTTTACATACAGGGTTACTGCACCAAAGGAGAGAACTGCATTTATTTGCACAATATCCTTTAAAAAAAACAACAACTTGAATTAAACTGAAAGTTTATATTTACTCTTAATCGATGTAAGTGATTTTTAAGTGTAGCTATTTCTTGTCTTAAGAGACTATACCAAAGACTGTGTAGAATTACTCCTGGAGGAATATTTTTCTGCTCAGTTAGGAGGAGAAAACATGTACAAAATTACTAGTTTGTTTTCTATTTTGAAGGGTTTTATTTTGTTAAAAGGTAAATCCCGTTGAAGTTAGATGCATTTGTCCATGTATCCTGGTTTGTGTTTTATTCCGGAAAATCTTTTTAATCGTGGTTTTAGAACCAAGTCCAAAATAACGTTAGGGCTGCGGTAATGGAATTATTAGTAGAACTTTAATTGGAACTAGGAAGCAAACTGGTTATGAGCTTTGAAAATTTTTAACACATTGCTTTGGAAAGTTTGAAGTATTGGTGAAAAATGGAAAGACAGTTGACAGCTTAATTTCATAAACTTGCCAGACAGTGCAACCTAGAAATCAGCCTGTGTTAGGAATCCTTAACACATCGCTTACATGAATTCCCTTGCAAGTTCTACCACACAGGAGCAAAGTGCTATCAAGGAGATAAGTGCAAGTTTTCCCACGCTCCCCTGACTGCAGAAACGAAGGAGCTGCTTGACAAGGTGAGCAGTTTGTAAACCACAAGGTTTTGGTACTAAAAGGAACAGTGGAACGTTGGCTGGAAAAGCCACCGCGGTTCTCAGGGAGCGTGCTGCTGAACTCCAGTGAGCGTTCATGAAATCCTGACCTTGGTGTTCAGTAGGATGTCAGCATACAGTAGTATTGCAGCAAGTAGTTATAGTTAAACAGAAGGTTCAAGGCTAAATTAAATTGCATATACTGCAAAATTTACATTTTTTGCTCCATTGCTTTGTTCTAGGTTTTGAATAATGAGGAGGAGCCACAAAACGAAGATGAGAAAGAGCTGGAGGAGCTCAGAAAGCGCGGCATAGTTCCTCTCCCTAAGCCACCACCAGGTGTTGGGCTTCTGCCAACCCCGCCAGAGCAGTACCCCTTCTCGGAGTCTGACATCGAAAATTACCAAGATCCTTCAGGGGATTATAAGAAAATCCCGTCTCTCTTTGAAATAGTCGTGAAGCCCACTGTGGATTTAGCGCACAAAATCGGAAAAAAGTAGGTTTCAGAATTCTGTGTTGAACTCTTCTTAAAGCAATGGAGCTGCGTAAATACTTAATCAATTCTCATTGCTCCTGTAAGAAGTGTGTACTTCTGAGTGTATTGCTGAGTTAATGATCTGTCACATATTGGCTATTCTAATTATTTACTTACAGAACGCTCTCCATGGAAGAGAACTTAGGGAGCCTTCACTTTCCAGAAAGCCACTCCATTGGCTTTTGAGTTGGCTCTAGACCTACCTTGCCTGTCTCTGTTTGCAGATCTTTTTTATAGTTCTATAGTGTTAGCTTTTTCCTGACTGAAGCCAGTGGACACCCTCGATGGGGGCTGTTGGCCTTGGGATATTTGATGCTCTTGGTTACAGCAAATCTCATGTTCTTGTGCTAAGACTGGAGAGATGCTACTTTCAGACTGTAACTGTATATATAGTTACTCCCTGAAAATTATTTTATATATATAAATTATTATATATATACAGTTAATCCCTGAAAATTATTTCACATTTTCTGAATTTTATCCTTCTTAAGAGCAAATAAGTACGAGTGGATACGTGTAAGGGGGAGGAGGAGATGGCTAACGGGGGCTGCGGTTCTTTGTAGGGGCCAAAAGC